TGTCGTTGTTTAGCGCGTGCGACAGGCGGGCGTGTGTCGAACGTCCGCTGTCGACACCGCGGCTCAAGAAAGCGCAACGTACGATCGTTATGGCCGAGTAAATCATTATTGCCAAAAGAGCCGTAAGCTAACAATCGTTGAATCTCCGACTGTTGTTGTTATTGTTACCAACGAATCAAATCCGTCCGTTATCGGCAGTGACGTGGGTTTCGCTTGGCACCTACCGCCGACTCTCTTCGTTGCGGGAGCGACGATAATCGCGAGAGGACCCGCGCGGATCCTCTCGACAAGTCTCCGAGAGGTTCGTTGATATATTTCCCTTTCAGTTCAGCGTCAGAACGCGACGTTAGTGAATCTCTACGTATGAGTAATCACGCGATCTCTCAATTCGGAATCGAGGAAAGTATAGCTAAGCGACATACTTGGCCGGCTAACGAACAGCAGCACGTTACACAACGAAGATACGAATACGATTCTTAGAAGCGCTAAATCCTCCGTCCCCGAGACTCCGCTCTTTTTATACATATATATATATACGTTTATTAAGAGTGTAGAAGATCGATAATATTACTGGGATCGAGCGGGGCCGAAGCGAGGCGTCAATGGAACCGTTGCTCAACGAAGTATCGACCGGCCACCAGGGATCAGATCGAAATGCGAGCTCGGTCGAAACTACCGGCCGGCTTCAATCCCTGGATCGATCGAAAGTCGACACGCTTGATACGTAATACGGCCAGACGCGAGTGTGTGCGTAATTAATACCGGTTCGTAATTAACGACGCACTCTCTCTCTCTACTGATAACGCGCGCACGTCGACTATGCGAAAATCGAATCGCGAGAGACTCCAGCCGGCAGTTACGACGGAGCGCGACCGAAGAGGAAGAAATCTTTCCTTCTTTCTTCGTTATATTTTCCTTAGCGTTCATCTCATTCGCGAATGTGAAAACATCGTTCTTTATCTCGCAAGAGAGCCGCGCGCCCGTCCCTCTCGAGTCCTCGTTGGCGCCAGGTACGCGTTTATAATATACCGGGGGATATCATTTTTTAGGAATTAATAACTTCCCGGGACTAGATCGCCGCGCGGAGAGAGAGCGCGCGCATATTAAAAAGTTCGGAAGTTCGTGCTCCGAAATATATTAACTCTCCCGGCTTTAATATCCCCGCCGCTGCGCGAAAATCAGGAACAGTTGCATTTCGCGTGTAACGATCCGCGAAATGCAGCCAACTACGGCCTTAAAAGCGCAGGAATTCGCGACCGGTACGGAAGGTAATATCGACATCTGTACACAGATTTCTCTCTCTTTTCCTTCTCCTCTTTTTTTGTCGTTTTTTTTTCTTTCTTTTTTCGGTTTCATCAACCACACAAAGGACCCACGCGAATACGCACCACCGCCGGAATCAGTTTACCAGTGATTCGCATTTACGCATAGAATTAAACCGCCATTGTCGGAACAGCATTGTACCGATCCCGCGGTTTTCTGAAATGGCCGCGGCCTTATTACACACAAAATAACAACGTGGTAACAAAACATATTTTATTGTCTCAGCGTACGGCGAATATAATATAACAAAGGAAAAAAAAGAGAGATAATGAAAGAAATATACAAAGAAATTAATCCATAAATTACGATGTGTCATGATCGCGATTTCGACGTATCGCTCTCGGCGCGATATATATTATTTGTAAACCTAAACACCTCTAAATGTAAGGAAATATAAATGTACCTCAGCGAATTGCACTGTGTGCAGCGGGGGAGGGGGGGAGGGGACCTTTGTAGAGTTAATCGACGACGCGTCAAAACGCATTTGCTATGCAAATTTGATCGGTGTAAAGCAAACGAAACTCTCACGGTTTATAGGATTGACGTGCACGCGATAAATGCATTCGATTATGTAATTACACACGACACCGCGTAAAATTAGCAAGCGTGAGCGCGAAAAATGTGCGCTGCTAATTAATAATTGCACTGTTTGCGAGTATTTTGGAATTACGCGCGCGGCGAGACTTCGGTGCGGGTATATACTTCGTATATAAGTCGCGTGAAAAATAGTAAATCGTATTAATATATTTAAAAAGAACAATCGCTACACGCTATCGATATAGTCGTCGAAATGTACAAATCACAAATGACAAGAAGATCACCCGTCGTCTCTTTGGTATTAATAAGAGAAACTGATTCGCGGTGGTCCGTGTAATTTCTATGTGTATGTTTCTGTGTATGTGTACATATATATATATATATATATAT